GCTGTGTACACTGACCTCAGAGCTGCTACACCAGGAACCTGTCTAAACCACTTAATGATGATTTTTGCTGTCCTGTAACCAGAAGGTTGTCCTGCCACAGTCTTCTGGCAATTTTCTGGTTTCTGAGCAGGAAGGGTTTGGCTGGGGCAACAAGGTTGGAGGTATGAGCAAGTTTCTTTGGGATCTTTCTGCAAGTGGCACCTAAAACTGCAGTATTACAATGCCTCTTAGCAGTGCATGGCTGGAAGGGAACAAGTGTTGGAGCTGAGGCTCTCCTGCTTTAGGAAGGGACTCCTGTTTTAGCAGAGGGGTTGGACTTGACAATCTTCAGTGGTTCCTTCCACACCCTATGGCTCTGTGATTCTGTGGCTTCAGGAGAGAAGTATAGAATTTTATGTTCTGGGTGAGCAAGTGTTACAGAACGTACAGCAGAAATCACACAAACTGTGTACAAATACAGGGATCTGAATACGGATGAAAGGAATTAAGATATGACTTCAGATACTGTAATAAAAGAATCTTCCCCTGAATCACTTCCTTCCAAAAACTATCCACTCACATCTGCCAGCTCAACACGGCTATTTCCTGCAGTGCTTTATCACAGCCTTCATTAAGGTGACTGACTCCTCAAATCTGTCAGCAGAACTGTTTGCACCATTATTTCCTAGCTCATTTCTTTGAGATACACACAGAGCTGGATGCTGCTTGGGCTTTCATTTTGCTCACAGTGGTTCTTGGCTATTTGCTGTATATTACACACAGCAAGAGAGATCCATTCAGATATGTTTAGTCTGGCATTCATACTAACTAATAACACACTAGATAATATTTGGATGGGTTTCATAGTCAAAGAAATGTTCTAATATGCATTTAGAATGAAGCGTGTCCTCTGTGGGCTTGTGAGGAGAGGAGAGGAGAGGAGAGGAGAGGAGAGGAGAGGAGAGTCCTGCCTGAGGATACAATTTATGCTGGCAGTTGTGGTGTTTGTAAGCAGCAAATACAAAGATGCACAAGCATGAAGCAATGGGAAAGCAACATGAGAGGGTACACAGCATCACAGTTGGTTTCCTTCAAGTCTTTGGCAGTGCTTCTGAGACAGTGGGTTGGAAACAAATTGGTCATCATTTTTCTCAGTTTCCTTCAGAACTTCCCAGCGCCCCTGTATTCCCAGTCCCACATTTTGTTATGAAGCAGAGCAAGCTTTGTGCCAGGCAGCAGAATGAACTTTGCTGCTGCATGAATGCAGACTGAGGATATTGAGGGTGTGGTGTGTGCCCTCCTAGAGCCTGCCTGTCTGCAGCCTGGCAGTGGGACGCAGGGAGCGCTGGGACCTGGCAGCCCTTTGGCTTCCATCCTGTGGTCCCTGACCACATCCAGACAAAAAACAAACAAACCAACAAAACAAACGTGCCACTGAGGAAGGCTGTAAGTTAGGGCTGGGCTGGTTAGTTTTGTGGTGTTGCACGTATGGTTTGCCTGAAATGACACACGGAGGAAACACTGCATGCTTCTGTCAGAGACCAGCAGCGTGTACACGGTGGGCTAACCTTGCTTTACTATTTTTTGATTCTTAATGTTCTTCTATCTCTCTTTGCTTGTCAGCTGCTTATTTTTTGTGGATTTAGAAATACAGGATCTAAGGGAAATGCATGGATTCTGTGGAAAGTTAAGTTACGAGCGCTGAGAATCCAGCCTCTGTTTGCAGTTTTACTGTGCCACCTGAGTCAATGAAAGGCTCGCTTGTAAGCTTGTAAATATGACAGTTTCCTTTCTGTATAAAACTACACAGATTCAAAAACTTGCTCCTACCTTTTGAGAAATGGCTGGGCAGGCGTCCCAGTGAAGAGGAGAATGCAAATGCTATGTTCTCTGCTGGTCTTTTTAGCAAGATGCAGCAAAGCACACTCACTGCTTTTAGTCCCACTGTCTAGCATAGATCTGTTGAACATTGGGGTTTGCATGAGGAGGCATTGCATAGCATTGCCTCTTGTTAAGACTGGGTGCACATACTGTTGATACAGCTCAAGTGACATGTAGGAACTTGTTAGCAATCATGTCCATTTTTGTGCATGTTATGTGACAGCCAATAGAGTAATCCCCTCACCCACGGTGATACTTGCACCATAGGGAAGGTTTCAAGTCAGGAGATGAGTTGCCTCTAAAGCCTACATTGGAATACTCATGTTTTTCATCATGTGATGAATGCCCTGCCCAGCAAGATGCTGGGCTAACTTCCATTTCAGTTGGACTGATCCCGTTAAGCTTTCCCTGAGGCTTTCATATGCTGACCAGGATCACAGAAGGACAAATGTATCTGCTAATCATTCAGCAGGAAATGGTTTAGTCTGAAAATGCATCAGGTTAGGTGGAGCGCTTGGGGCTGTCCTTGGGTGGTAAGTATGACAAAAGAGTTGGCTGTTTCAGACAGGATTGAAACCATGAATGGATTACACAAAGCATACACGAAAGTGTTTGTAAGTAGGCAACAATGTTACCAGGTTTTCTTTCTGAATTCTTCCTAATTACTGTCATCAATTTTATTTGGAAGCTCACATATAAATAAGGAAATTAATAACTTAGTTTTCTTCTTTTCCACATCAGTGTTGTATTCTGTCCTTTCACAGCTTAGTTCTGCACTGCTTTGTGACCCAGTTAAAACACTCAGTCCATTCTATTGGATATGAAGTTGCTGACTTGGATTCCAAAAATTCCTCTTAACATTTCCTGGGTTGTTTTAACAGATATCATCATTCATTTTTAAGTTACCAATGTTAGATGTAACTCACTGTGCTTTGAGCAAAGAGCACTGCAGTGCTTCCAGCATTTCCCAGACTCCTGTTTCTCCTAACGTGTTGTTCACAGGTTGGCTGATAGTGCAGTTACTGGGTCTGATAACAGCTGTCCTTCAGTCATGTTTCTGGCTCTGAAATTGTTCCTTTCTCTCTGGCTTTTGTAATGTTGCAGCAACTCAGAGATGGCAGATAGTACTGAAACTGCTCGAGCTGTGCATCACTATCTGGATGGGGAAAAGGATCTAAGGATTTAGATATGTGATCAGTGACAGAAACTTATTTAGCAATTTCAGGAGGAGCTTGGAACAAGTAATAATCCTTTGGAAGTTTACTCTCTGATCAGAAGAAACATGTTTTTTTGGACTCAGCCTCAATCCAGATACTGGAGTGCCCAAATACAGGAGTAGCTGCACACTTGTTTGTGACCTGGTCTGTGTTGAGGCATCAGAATCTGATGAGGAAACTTTGTCTTGAACCCTCAGGGCAAACTGCCTGCCTCAGTGATTCAGGTATCTGAATATACCCACTCCACCTCGTACATCTGCAAGCCAAAAAAAATTTTCCATCCTCACTGCTCACAGCAATTAGATTGCCAATGGTGATGCATCCATTCTAGGTTTGATCTAACTCAGAATTGTTGATGGTTATTGGCAAACAGCAGTGAAACAAATATTTGAGCCTTGCTTATTATACCTGGAGCCTGCTTTTGAATGTTATCCTGAATGATAGCCCCACTTGAAAAGTCATAAAACCTAGACAGCCTTAGGAACCCCAAAACCATGTTCTAGATCCATCTATGGAGTTCAGTGCAAATTATACTGGTAATAAAACTGAATAAAAATAGAATCTTCCATATGGGAAAGTTGAGAGAAAATGTACTTTCAAATTCCTCAAAAGCCTAAAGATAAAAGAGCATTTTTCCTGCAGTTCTGGTACACAAGAACCTGCCTAAGATCGTTCTATAAAGCGATGGTGCCTTCTTGTCTAATCTTTAATGGCTGTAAACTGTACTGTAAAGTATCTTTAATACTGGTGCTTTGGGAAGATAAGCTAGCTGGGACCCAGTGAAAATAATATTTAGGAGTTTACCTAATAGGGATTGCTTTTAGATTTTCTGTGCAGTTTTGAAGTGTAACTCTGAACTATGAGCCTTATACCCTCACGTACAGGACATCAGGAACTCCAGTTAAGTCACAAGCCAACACTGAAATGTACAGCATGTTGCTACAGCTGTTACTTCCAGTGGAATGATATGGATTGTCACCAGGCTAAAATCAGGCCGTATGTCTCAGGTAGGGTCCCAAAATCCAAGTGAGACAAGGAGTTGGAGAGAGATGACCTCTGAGGTCCCTTCCAACCCAAGCCATTCTATGATCCTAAGTCAACTGACGCTTTGGAAAAGTAGTGGGCTGAGTTTCAGGTTGCTGTTTTCAGAGAACTGGTACTTGCAACACAGAATGCCCGTGTTCTGCAGCAGAGGTTGCTGGATTTCACCCCTACAGGCACTGCTGCCATCACTGTGCACAGGCTGAGCACGTTGCCTCATGGCCAACTCATTCACATCACTCACATACTACACAGAATAAATATGAATGTGAAGTTCCTGGAATAAAGTGCTTTTCAGGGCAATTCTGATTACTGTCCGTAAATCACTCTGTTAGAAAGACTTCTAATTTATCTTTCTTGTCAAATTCAAAAGAAATAGTTCACCAGACAAACTTTTCCAGAGGAGGCATGTCATATTTTCAAACCTGCCTCAGGTAATAATTCTTCCTCTTTAGTTTCCCTCATGTGCACACATTGCTTATGGCTAAGGGAGTATTAACCTCCAAGTGCAGAAGTTAAACTCTTGCATTGAAAGGTTTAGTAGTGACATTCACAGCAGAAAACGTCACCACCTAAATGCTGGTTACAACTTTTTGCCTGCAGTCTTGCATGTGGTGAAACCAAAGGCACTTCCAGGAGTGCCAATTAACATTCCAGTGCTGCTCCCTTTGCTCCTTCCTTTGCTCAGATGCACAGAAAGTCCTTTCCAACAGCACATAACTCAGCACAAAACTTTTGCTGTCTCTTTCCTGATACAACCATAGCAACTGCTGAGTGGTAGCTTTAAGGAAGAGCTTTATAGACAGGACAGAGATCTGAGTAAACGCACAAACTGCTCATTTAAAAGATCTGCAAATACTTTGAATTTAAGATTTTTCTTACCTTCTTCAGCAAGTGCTACGAGGGGCACGCTCCCTAGAATGAAGATGAAGAATGGAACTTTAATAAACATCTTTTTTCCGCTTAGAGAAGAGCTTTCCAATGCTGAGACCAGACGGATTCAGACTCTGATAGATTTTTTAGAGTCAAGCAAGAATTGAGATCATGAAAAGAAATCACTGCAGAAACGACTTTGGTATTCCAAATATTCCCTTAGCTGCTGTCGCTGAAGGGGAGAGGTTTGCACAGATGATAACTATACAGCTAAAGCAAAGTATCTGAGTGGTGTCAGCATTTTTTTGTTTAGCAGGGGGGTGGGAGCATGCCTAAGGTGGTCTCAAAAAGAAGAGCCAGGCCCGCCCTCTGCGCTCTGTTTGGGCAGTGCTGAAGTTATGATCTCAGCCCAGGTTTAAAGTTACAGGAGCTGTTGTGGCTTTCAGAAGACTTTTATTTAGCAAAGGGGGAAAGAGGATTCAGGCAGAGAGAAGCGTTCAGGGAGTTCCCTCCCTTCTGCAAACTGTCCCTAAAAATATTGAAGGAACAACACTAAGGACATTTGTCCTGTTATTTCCAGCTGTGAACTGATGGGTTTTTATTTCAAAGCGAGACCCCGTGTTTATCTGAGTATGTGTGGTAATGAATGTGCTTTTAGGGATACTGAAATAGTTCTAGGACAGGGTATTTATTTAATTCTGTAGTAAATACTGTCTGACTGCTTCTGCACGTCTAAGTGTCTTTCAGCCTGTGTCCTCAAGTGACGTGCTGGCTGGGCTCTAGCATTTATCTTTGACCGTGGGCTTCCAAGCCTCAGTGCAGCTTTCATATGTGAGAGATAGAGGATTTTTCCTTCTTGTGTGCAACTCTAAGTAGTACAGCTGTACAGTTTTCAGTTCGGTTCTAGTTACTCCTGTATACATTTCTGTGCATCAGCATCAAGTGTCTGCAAGAGTAGATCAGCACCAAAAATGTATGCAACATGCTAAACTTTATGCTCTCATATAGATGAGGATTTTTACACAGGTGGGGGTGAAGCAGGGCTCTCGGAGCAATGATTAATCTGAGTCCTTTTCTGAATTTTGGGCAAGTAATGAACTACTAATTCAGAGGGTTGTCACCAGCAGCATGGTCTGGTTGGAATCCTGAGACTATCTGTGCTCCCCAGGGATTGGTGCTGGGTTTGGTTTTGTTCAACACCCTGGATGATGGGATAGAGTCTAACGTCAGTAAGTTTGCCCCAGGAAGGACTGGCAAACTGAAAGGCTGTGCTACCATTCAACGAGACCTGGAGAGTTGGGCAGGGAGGAACCTGATGAGCTTTAACAAGAGCAAGTGTAGAACCTTGCACCTGAGGAGGAATAACTGTATGTACCATTACACGGTTAGGGCATGACCTGTGGAGAAGGAACTGGGGGTCCTGGTGGAACACGGGTTGGCCATGAATGTGCCAGCAGTGTGCCTGGTTGCCAAGAAAGCCAATGGGATCCTGAGGTGCATTAAAAAGGTTGTGGCCAACAGGGAGAGGAACGTGATCCTTCGCCTCTACTCTGCCCTGGTGAGGCCACATTTAGGCTGCTGTGTCCAGTTCTGGGCTCCCTAGTTCTATAAAGACAGGGATGTCCTAGAAGGAGTCCAATGGAGGGCTGCAAAGATAGTGAAGGGCCTGCTGGAGCATCTCCTGTTTGAGGAAAGGCTGAGTAAACTATTCAGCCTGGGGAAAAGAAGACCGAGAGGGAATCTGATAAATGTTTATAAAATCTAAAGGGAGGCGGGAGGTAAATGGATGAGGCCAGGCTCTTCTTGGTGGTGCATAGCAATAGGACAAGAAATAATGACCTCGACATAGGAAGTTCTGAACTGACAGTAAGGATGATGGAGCACTGGAACAGGTTGTGCAGAGAAGTGGTGGAGTCTCCTAGGGAGATATTCCAGACCCATTGGGACACCTACCTTTGTGCCACCTGTTGTAGGGAAGTACTTTAGGAGGGGGTTGGACTTGATGATCTCTTGGGGTCCATCTGAACCACTGTGATTCTGAAACTCACATCTATTTAGGGACCTCTTGAGTTTTAATCAGCATTCACATGTGAGCTATCTTTACCAGTGTGAGTGGAGGTGGTGAGACCAAGTGGTTTCTGTTGCTCTTTTGCCCCCTGTTTTTGTACTGTGGAGTCCTGCAGTGCTAACACCAGGTTCTGAGACACAACAGCTGAGATATAGATGTTTCCCTTCTACTGACAGTGGTGGAGGAGGTTTTAACTTGGAGAGGTAAAAAAACAAAAGAACCACATGGCAGGGTTGTTTTTCTCAGTGGATGTGAGTCAGAGCTCTCATTAAGACCCCACAACACTTTGTTACAAAGGAGGAAAGCAAGTCTAAACATAAGCAACTGGTACAGTCAAGCCAAAAGGACTGCAGATGGGAATTGCAGCACCTTCCATAGGGTTTTTCTTTTGTAACTGTTTAAAAATGAAAGGTGCCATGGGAATTTCTTGTAGGTAAATTAATAGTGCCACAACTGTTCTTGGTATCAAAGTTCACTAGGAGACTAGGGTGAAAACAAGAAGTGCTAATGCAGAGGCAGTGGGTGATATTGGCTTACAGTGTTCGAAAACATTGGAGCAAATACTCTCGAATACTAAATAGCAGCATGTCTTGAATCTTAATCTGGGATTAATTACTTTTGGATAATGTTGCTTGGGATGTTGTAAAGATTGTTCACTGGGGAAATGCTGCTTCTGTGAAACTGAGATTTTCTAGGGGAGGATGTCAGTTCTAAGGAAAATTATTTCTCAATTGGAACAAATAGTTCTTTATGAGAATGGAATGCTTAAATTTCTGTACATATTTTCAGATAGGCTATGAAAGACAAACTGGAACCAGTGACTGCTCTTCATGTTTACTTCAAGTTCCCAGGAACAGAAAAGTGGATCTGTTTAGATCTTCATCTCTTCTTCCTCAAACATGCTCTGAGGACTTTTCATTTTTATGGTCATTCCTATAAACAAATCCCTTGGGTTTATGAGTAGGCCTTCCTAAAGAAGGAGAAGCTATTTGCTGAATTAAACAATTTCTTTGCACAGCATTCTGAGCATAGAGGTGGAGCTTTTGGGCTTTCAGGAACTGGACTTCCATTTCCAGTTGCTAGAAGCAACTTTTGAACGTTTTCATTGTTCAGAGCAGTGAGGAATAGTTTCTCTCATGCCCTGCTCTTTTCTATTCCAGCCCACTCCTCAAAAATATTTATCAAATAGGTACAAAAAAGGGAAAGAAGCTTGCCTGCAGTTACAGTACATTAGTGGAAAAGCTCAGGATGCATTGTTCCAGCTGTTTCAGGATGAAGCAGTTCCTTCTGCCTGCCTTCTGCTGAGAGCTGCACGTTGCTGAATAAAGACATTGAGGTCCAGAGCCATTGCTGAACACCTGGTGAGAAAGAAACACAAATTCTTTGAGAAAGACCAATGTACCTTTAGGGAGGTGTGGAACTAGGGAGAGAGGGGAGCAGATTTCCCCTGAACTGCAACAAATTAGGGTTTGTTGATAGAACTGTAGCTCACAGTCTTCTGTGAAGCCAATGGATTTTGTGAAAATAGAGGAATTATACTAAGGTTCTGATTGAATAATCTAATATTTCCTCTAATGCAGCAGTTGTGCTTTGCTTCGCAATAGAAGATAGGCACAACTTTTTCTGTTGGTATGTATTGGACTCAGGAGCTGGACTCAATCCGTGTGAGTTCCTTCCAACGTGGGATATTCTCTGACTCTATGATTGGTTGCAGATGTACACATTTATTCAGATGCTATAAGAAAAAAGTTTAGGCCTACAGAGGGATGTTGCAATTTGGTCTTTTTGTACAGGAGCATCACAATGATTCCTGTGCAGTCTTCCCATGAATCTTCACCCAGAGGGTGGTGAGGCACTGGAACAGGTTGCCCAAGGAGGCTGTGGATGCCCCATCCCTGCAGGCATTCAAGGCCAGGCTGGATGTGGCTCTGGGCAGCCTGGGCTGCTGGTTGGAGACCCTGCACATAGCAGGGGGTTGGAACTGGATGAGCATTGTGCTCCTTTTCAACCCAGGCCATTCTATGATTCTATGAATCTTTCTAAGAGGAGAATGTGCATGGGTCGCTGAGTTTTGATTGTTGTTGCTGTGTTTTTTTATTGCAAGGCTGCTCTGCATGTCTTTAATCACAGCAGTTTAAGGGAGGAGGTGGAAATGGCTTGAAGTCCAAGCAGCCTTTTTACTTTCATTTCGGCATCTGTTCTTCCTGTCTGACCCTATCAGTCGGTCCTGCAGCCCTGTGAGCAGCTCAGGCTGCCTCTGCTCTGGCAAGGGTGGAATCATGAGACACAGCTGGAGGAGGAGGAAGCAGTGCCTGCATCCTGCAGAGCATTCTGTCTCAGTGGCAGAACTGAGCTGGCTTTCCTCTGAGTCAGACGTGTCACTCTGTGCCCCCAGAATGCTGAAGTTGAGCACTGAAGGTCGTCTCCCCACTGTTGTAGCCAGATTTCACTCTTTATTTCTACCTCCAGAATAATTTTTTGTGTGTGTGGAAGCTGCTCGTGGCAGTGATATTTGCAAAGAGTAAATCCGTTACGTAAATGATACAGGAACTGAGGGGGGTCATTGTGTAACTTGTTGTAGGGTTTCGTTGCAGTAAAGCCAAGTTGCTGTGTTAAAAGCAATGGAAAACTGGAGCTCTTAGTGGGTCTCTTCTTTCAATATCAGAACATTTCCTTAGACTAAATCAGGGGCTGCTGTACTTCAGTAGCTGCCGAAGGGGTGGGTTTGGCTGCAGTGAGAAAATGGGAAACGACTTGAAAAGTAATGATTCTTAGAGAAAACAGCTTTTATGTTAAACATTGCACAGCCCATAGCTGCCCCTGGGTACAGGAGCAGGAAATTCAGCAATGGGAAGAGAAGGCATCTTCCAGTGAGGGTGGCATCTTGTGAAAGGATGGGGAAAGAAAATACGGGTTTACTTTCTTTGTACTGCAGGTCTTTTTCATCAGATAAATTTTGTGTGTGTGTTTATAGACTGCAGTCATCTATCAAATGCACGTGCTGATATTAAGATCTACATATTAGACTTTAAACTGAGAGCATGCTTGGCTGTGTTCCCATCTGACAGAAGTACTTGCAGTGAAATCAAGATTGATAGCAGGCTTCTGCAGGAGTACGAAGGCTTGCTGTTTGAAATGTCTTTCTCTTATTGATGTCCATCAAATATCTTCATTGAATTATATAGCCTTTAAACAGCCACTCTTTAGTGCTGGCTTTTGGGTTTGAGTCTCTGTACATCTAGTTTCTCATGTCTGAAAATGTATCTGGCATGTGAGATGCCATCCAGAAGTTTTCCATCAAGCAGCTGCCAGGGAATGGGAGCACTGGAAGATGCTGTTCCTTCCCTGTCTGTGCTCCTGCCTGTAGAACATTCTGTGCACAGATGGGAGCACCTCTGTTGGATGTGAAGAGAGGTTCTTGACTCGCAATCTTGGCACAAACAGTGTGTGAAGTGGGAGATCTTGAGCTAGAATAAGTGATATTTATGTGAGTCCTGGAGACGGGGCTAGATTTTCAGCTGTACAACTCGACAGAGCAGCACAGCAGTCGATATATACGAGTTTTCACAAATGCTGCAGGCTGTGGGGCACAGAGGCAAGCTGAAGTGTTTTATGATGTGTTAAACAGGCACTTCGAGCCAGTGCCTCTGGCAGTGCAGTTGTCACAGTGCAGAGAGCAGCTCTGAAGCAGCAGCTCCCAGCATAGCCAGGGAATGGAGGCAGGCTGAACCAGTTTTTGGAGGCTCGAAATGAAATGTATTTAAGGGATAAAAGATGTAAGTGTGTGCACCTGCAGTGCTTTTGTTTTAGGTCTGTGGCCGAGCTGCTTTTCTCTCTCTTGTCACTTCCATCACTCCAGAAAGGACTGAGCAAAGTGCTGGGAGCACAAAGGGGTAAGAAGGATGTCCATGCAGCTCTGTGTAACAGCACGGTGATATATGTGATGTCAGCACTCCTCTAGGATGTTTCAGTGTCTGTGGTTGGATGGTTTGATATTGGTGTGGCTTCATTTCCTCCTTTTATCAGTTCAGAATTGTTTTTCATTCATACTGTAAAGATTTTCATAAGATTCTGATGAATTTGGGCCTCGGAGCACAAAGGCGTGGATCGATATCTTTTGGGGACTGAATAATGCCAGCTGTTGTCTCTACGTGACATACAACAGTGTGACTCAGAGTTAAATATGGGATGCCCACTCTTTACTACTTTTAAACCTGTGGATGACCACCATGTATTTAACAAAAAATTATAAGGTTGCTGTAGGTTTTCTTAGGTCAGGAGCGTTCTTTTTAACTAGAACAGTTAAATAAGGAAAGCAACACAGCAATGGAGCCAAGAGAACTTTCTCAGCCTCATAGGTTTTTTTCTAGGGAATGGTTCTGCATGAGTTTTTCTTCATGCTTCCAAAGCCTTTCCCAGTTTTTACAGTGAAATTATATGGGTAAAGCAAACAGCTGTCATTAGAGATTTACATGTCTTCACATTTTTAAATGGGTTGTGTTTGAGTGCTGCAAACACACCAAGAAATGTCGTGATCTGTACGTGGTGAGCGGGCACCTGCCTGGGTTGGCAGGGTGGACAGGGACCCAAACAGCACATGGGGCAGCCTGCTTTTCCTGGAGATGGGTAAATGGCTCTTTGAATGAGTGTGTGGAAGAAATCCTTGCAGAAGAAATGAAATGAACGTGGATGAATACATGAGATATACTCCCCCCGTTAAGGTCCATGGCAAGATTCCTGTTTCAACTGTGTTTTTAGGGAGGTATTCCTTATGAAGGAAAGGAGTTTCTTTTTGTGTATCAATTCCCAAGTATAAGCAGCATCAAGAAGGAAGTGGAAAGACGAAAAAAGCTTATGGAAGGATAATAGCTTCATATAAGGTGGGGGTAGGTGATCCTGGTGAATATGGGGAGGGAGAATGTGGAGATGTTCCTGGCCATCCCCTAATTGGGAGTGATTTTCTAATAGCATCTTTGGTTAAATGGGCAGAACGTCCATCTACACGGCACTCTGCAGCCAGCAGAGGGAGCAGGATGTTTGCTGATGGGTTTAGTTGAAGCTGCAGGGCTGGATTTCACCATTCCCCAGCACCTGCAGGAAGCCGAGCAGACTGCTGTGCTGCAGACAGGTCAGGTCTGGGGCTGCAGTGGCTCTGCCATGTCTTTCCCACCCTGGCCACATGTTCAGGTGGCTATGAAAGCACATGCCTCATGGAGGATTATCATAGAATCACAGAATGGCCCAGGTTGGAAGGGACCTCAAGGATCATGAAGCTCCAAGCCCCCTGCCGCAGGCAGGGCCACCAACCTCCACATTTAATACCAGCCCAGACTGCCCAGGGCCCCATCCAGCCTGGCCTTGAACACCTCCAGGGATGGACGGGGCATCCACAGCCTCTCTGGGCAGCTGTTCCAGCACCTCACCACTCTCATAGCAAAGAACTTCGCCCTGACACCCAACCTCAATCTTCCCTCCCTCAACTTCAAACCATTTCCCCTTGTCCTGCTGTTATCTACCCTTTCAAAGAGTTGATTCCCCTCCTCTTTGTAGGCTCCCTTTAGGTACTGGAAGGCTGCAGTGAGGTCACCCTGCAGCTGCCTTTTCTCCAGGCTGAATAAGCCCAGTTCCCTCAGCCTGTCTTCATAGGGGAGGTGCTCCAGTCCCCTGATCATCTTTGTGGCCCTCCTCTGGACCCTCTCCAACAGTTCCCCAACAGTCTTTCTTGTACTGGGGGCTCCAGACCTGGATGCAGTGCTGCAAATGGGGCCTCACAAGAGCAGAGTAGAGATGGACAATCAGCTCCCTGTCCCTGCTGGCCACCCCTCTTTTGATGGAGCCCAGGATCCCATTTGCTTTCCGAGCTACAGGAGCACACTGCTGGCTCATGTTAAGTTTTTCATCCATCAGGACCCCTAGGTCCTTTTCTGCAGACTGCTCTCAAGGACTGCTCCTTCCAGTCTGTATAAATGCCTGGGATTCCTCCGGCCCAAGTGCCAAACCTTGCACATGGCTGTGTTGAACTTCATTAGGTTCACCTGGGCCCACCTTTCAAGCCTGTTGAGGTCCCTCTGAATGGCATCCCTTCCTTCCACCGTGTCAACCACACCACTCAGCTTGGTGTCAACAGCAAACCTGCTGAGGGTGCACTCGATTCCGTCATCGATGTCATTGATAAAGATGTTAAAGAGCACTCTGGTGGATGTAGACATCTTTCAGCAACAAAAACCATTGGTTTTCTTGCAGTGACGCCAGCTCCTGGCAACCAAATTCAATAGACAGCAATGTGAGAAGTTTTCAGGGGCAAAACATGCGTCAAATGAATGCAAAAGTAAGTGCTGAAATCATGAGAGGGTCAGGAAAATAATGAGTGCCTCAGCTGTTTTGCAAAATCTGGATTCTTTCACTCTATTCCACTGACATGGTTGAGTATTATACTGTAATCTCTTGAAATGAAATACAGTGCTGCTGAATTTGATAAAGAATTGATCTCAGCTAGAATGAATGCTCCATCTAGTAGAAATAGCAGACTGATAGTACTGCTTCAAACACTTCTGCCAAGTGTCAACAACATTCATTCATTTTATTTCTTCTGGAAAAGAATCCATTATTTTAATAGTAAGGGAAGAAAGAAGAACAAAGTATGCAAGAAAAAAAAAATCGAATGAATATCCATCATACTAAAACATTGACAGGATTCAGGCTTGGTTATTCTTTGAGCTACATCATAAATCACTTATGTTTGGATAAAGTGAAATGACGACTGGAGAATGAGAGGGGTGGAGTCCCATCCTGTGTGGAGGGTGGACCTAAAGGGGTGCAATTTCCCTGGAATTAATGAACAAAGACCTTATATTTGCATTACTCAAGCCATTGCACG